TCTTCACCTTCTGGGCACTGTTGGATTAAAATCCATAATTATGGGTACATATTTTTAATGTATATTGTTATAATAAAATATGACATAAATTAAGATATCAATTATGTTATAAAGTTATAAGGTATTAGAAGTGTCATGGAAATAAAAAGTGTAGATACAGTTGTATTTATAATTCGATGAGGGGCAGAGCTATAAGTGCAAGCAATAATTGATTCTTAAATAAGCAATATAAGGGGGTTATGGTCCCCAAGAAATAAATCGATCCTCGTATTTTCCCTTACCCCGTCAGATAGTTTATACTTAAGAAAACTCTATCTTCTTAGAAGATCACAACCAAGAGAGATCCAAAGATTTCAACCGATTAATTCGGATACGCTTCCGCATCTAGTATTTTATTCTTGTTGATTTAACATTACTAGATTTTGGTTATTTCCATATTTATCATTATAGTTTGGTTTTAACAGGCACAAGCTGTGGAACTTAATGTAATCAATCATCCTATCCAAAGATTTGCAGTGTGGTTTAGTGGTTCTCTACTTGCATCAACGCCTGAATTTTTTGTGGTATGGATTTCTAAACTCCTATTTTACTCGTGTTTTCAATACAGGCCGCTGAATGGCATTGAGTTTGGCTTTACGAATTTTAACTGTGTGTTATTCAAGTTCGTTGGTATTATGGCTTTGTGTTTTTCAGCTTCTGAAGTGGTATCATTGATGTAGGGAAACCTTATTTGTTCCATAATTTTCCATTACCTTCTAGTTTGTTTGGTGATTCAATGCTGAAATATGTGGAGCCTTTGCTCTAGATATTCAAATGTTGTTCATGTATAATATTAATGATGAATGATCCCAATAAGCTTATAAACAAGGTTTAATCTACGTAGATCTTGATCCCAGACTATCGTCATTCTTCAACGGTGTTATACCATCGTCGACATTATTCTTTCAGTAGGTTTTGAAGTTTGAATACTTTAATGCAGACTATATAAAAAGTCACACTTATCTTTGAATATTGACTAAAGAAGAAAAAGAATTGGTCTCTTGCTCTTTCGTTGCTTTGTTAAATACATAGAATATATGAATTTTGTGGTGTAAATGAACAGTGACTAGTGGTGTAAATGAAGATAACATTCGGTGAACTGTTCGTAAATCGTTCGTATAACATTCATTTATTAAGTTAAATAAAGAGTATGAACAAAAAAATTTATGTTCATTTAATGAACGAACGAACACGAACAAAGGGGTGTTCGATTCGTCTATGTTCACGAACAAGTTTGTTTATTTTTGTTCATGAATAAACTCATTTGTTTGGTTTTCCTTTTCTTTTCTTTCTTTTACATTTTAAATATTGGTGAAGGTAATGACTAAATTGAATACATGATAAAAATTGAAATTTAAAATGCGAATTTTAAAGATTTTAAGCACTAGCGGTGTAAAGTTACCATTTTTTTAGATTGAAAGGGTTAAAACTAAAAATTAAACATATAAACGAACATTAAACAAACATTAAACGAATACATTCGTGAACAATAAATAAACAAACATTGAGACATTCAAAAATAAATAAACGAATACAAATATTAAAAATTTAAACGATCTGAATATGAATATGAACAGCTTCAAAATTAAAAAATTAAACAAGAACGCGAACGTAACCTTGTTTGTTCAAGCTCGATTCAGTTACACACCTATCAATGGCCTAGGAAGCCGAAGCAATGGGGGCCGTAAAAAGTGGTAAAGCTCGGACTATGATCAGAGCAATCAGGAAGCAACAACTCAGCCGAAGCACCAGGAAAAATGAACAAACCCTGGTTGCACCCGAGTCAGAAGTGTCCCTGAAAAAGGATGATCCACCGTGAATATCTTTAGTCAATGAATCTGCTTCAAAAACGGAGAAAACAATAGCAAAGAGTGAGCAAAAGACAGATAATAATTAGGTCAGGCAGCCCGAAATTCACTGCAGACCACATCCGTGAGAACAAATTGACCTATTAACATTACCACGACAAACAAATATAATCAGTTGATCTGTCTTATCTTTGTAAAAATGCAGATTTGCAGGGACACAACAGAAATGCAGGGCATGCGACAAGACTGTCTATTTGGTTGATAAGCTAACGGCTGATAATCGGGATTTTCACAAGGCTTGCTTCCGTTGCCACCATTGCAATGGCACTCTCAAGGTAAATATATTTTATATTAATGTATTTTAGACTTCGTGCAATTGAAGCACTACGTAATCGTGCATGGGCGACAGATATTGTCTGGATTCCACGTGGTGCTAATATGCTTGGAACTTCACAGCACTTTGAACTCATCATTCATGAAGCTCCAGCCCCCCTCCCCCCCAAAAAAAAATTCTATCCTTGATTTACTGTCTAAGGATGCAAACAACCATCTTGTAAACCTCGTTGAGGCTAGTAGTTAATTAGTTTTTCTCTCTTTTAATTAAAAAAAATGTATTTTAGACTAAAGGTTTATTTATATTGTGTTTTTTAAACGAAATTCCATTTTCATATAGCATAAATTATACATTTAGTATCTAGACTATCAATTTTGATCCGTTTTAAAACTTAAATTTCATTTTTTTCAAAATCATACATAAAGTTTAGTTTTTGTTTTTGTTTTTAGTACCAAAACTTAAGTCTTGAAATTTTTGAAAGTTTAGGTACCAAAACACGTTTAGTGCATAAACCATACTTAAGTTATGAAAAAAGAATGAAAGTTTAGGTACTAAAACAGACTCAAAACTGATAGTTTAGGTATTAAACACATCAAGTTTTTAACGATGGTGTATTAAAATGAAACAAAAAAAACGTTAGGTATGATTTTAAAAAAATTGAAAGTTTAAATACTAAAATGGATCAAAATTAATAGTTTAGATACTAAACGCGTAATTTACCCTTTCATTTGAGAAAAGGAATTGCATATATTGAAATTCGAAAATCATGTTTATGAGTGTTGTACTGTAGGTCACACTATGATCAACTCTTCAAGAGAACCGGCAGTCTTGACAAGAGTTTGAAGGTATATAAAATAAAATGGTAAAGTACATAAATGGTCCTTCAACTATAGCGTACTGCTTTATTATGTTCCTCAACTATTAAAAGTTACAAAATAGTCTTTTGACTATAGAGTGTTTCTTTGTTGAGTCCATAGACTGACACAAAATGATTATCAGACTATTCATATGCTCCAAACTTCTCATTTTTGTTAAAAAAATTGGCGATTGTTCGAGTTAGACGTTAACATTATAACTAAGATATGATAATCGTTTGATATTCTATGATCGAATTTTATCATATCACAGTTAACAAGTTAACGTTCAACTTAGATTGTCGTTAATTTTTTAACGGAAAAGGACGTGTTTAGAGCAATGAATAGTCGGGTGACCATTTTGTAACTTTTAATAGTTGAAGGACTCAACAAAGCCACATGTTATAGTTCAGATATGATAGTTTTTTTAGATTTTGAGATCAAATATCTCAGTCATCAGGTTAACATTCGGCTTAGATTGTCACCAATTTTTTAACGAAAAATGATGAGTTTGGAACATACTAAATAGTCGAGTGATTATTTTGTAACTTTTAATAGTCGAGATACTCAACAAAACAACACCTTATAGTCAAAGGACTATTTTATAACTTTTAATAGTAAATTGACTAAATAAAATATCACCCTATAGTTGGGGGACCATTTGTATACTTTACCCTATTATTTTACTTAAATCTGAAACTTGGCGATATATTTGACCTTTGAGCTATGGATCCAACATAGTGTACTGAAACTGTCGAAAGTGTTCGCTGGCACCAGAGAAAAATGCAAGGGCTGTGATAACAGTCTATCCAATTGAAAGGGTAAATAAGTTAATTAAAAACCCTTTTTTATTTTCTTTTAAGAATGCGAGTCGGATTATCCGTTCAGCTCGATAATGAATTCGGATTCGGAAATGAAATTTTTCTCTTGTTGTTGAAGGTTTCGGTTAATGGGACTTCATACCACAGGGGCTGCTTCAAGTGCTGACACGGAGGATGCACCATTAGTCCATCAAATTACGTACCACATGAAGGGAAGCTTTACTGCAAACATCACCATATCCAACTCTTCAAAGAGAAAGGAAACTACAGCCAACTGGAGACCGATCGCCCGACAAACTCCGTCAATACTTCGTCGACAGGAATTGTCACCGAATCGTAGACCACTTTATGCTCCGCTGATCGCAAGTCCAATCATCCATGTCACTTGCATTTTTGGAATAAGATTGGTGTACTTGTGAAAAAAAGAAGAAAAAAAATCGAATTTAACTCGATAAAAAAAGCTGAGTTTGAACAGTTCGATATTTATCTTGAAATTCAATTTTAAACTAAACAAACAAGCTTCATAAGCTGAATTTGAACAGTCTGTTCTTTGTCTCGTTAAGCTCAAACTTCTTATAAATTGAAGTTGACTAGATTAAACCTCTAATTAAGGATGGACATAGATCAAGTTGAGTCGGGTTTTTCGATCGACCCGACCCGAAAGACATACACTCTGAGTTGAACTTGACTTTTTTTTTAAATAAAATCTAAACCCGACCGAAATAATATTTTTATTCAATAATATGGATTTAATTAGAAAAAATAATATATGGAGGGTTGTTATTATAATTATCCCTAAATACATAAGATAAAATTATATTTTTTCTGATCGGATCTTATATTTTTACCCTAAATCCAAACTCAACCTGAACCCAAACATAATTGCTAAAATAATCCGATCCGATCGGGTCCGGACCTGTCAGGTTCGGATCCCATACCCATCCCTACCTCTAATCTTATAAAATCCAAGCAATGACATCAGTGACAGTTCACCTACAGGACAACTTCTTCAATAAATGTCGACAAAATATAATAACGTATTGTCCAAAATTAAACCATCAACTACGACAAAATATCTGTTTAAATTATATTCTTCCCCTTGTTAGATGTTAAATAACAAAAAAAATGAACATTTAAGGCATTATAGCTACCTGCAAATGCATGTATTAATAAATGTGGTTATTAACAAACCCATTGTTCTTGTTCAGACAAATCAAATCCAGGAAAAGTTTATACAGTACCATCATTCAGTTCATGTTATTTCCCCCATGGTTTCACATGATAAACAGTTTGGTCTCAAAGACTTACTCTAACAATCGCTTGTACTTACACCATGCAATAGCAATCACATAGAGGAATATTGACCCCGCGGTACCACCTCCGATTGTCCATAGGAACTCCGGCATCCCCGCTTTATCGTCGTCAAATAGCTCAATATGGATATTCATGCCAAAGATACCGGCAACAACAATAAAGGCACTGATGACAAGGGTGGCTGTTGTTAGCATGACTCCCATTTGCAGGAGATGGTTCTGTTTGTCATCTAGCATTATGTTAATGTAGTCCTCTGTGTCATCGACATATTCCCTCAGCTTCCCGGAAAGACGAAACAAAAAAATTAAGATCAATGTCAATAACCCTAAGTCACAATGATAAAGAAGCTTACACGGTGTTATATGTCACAGACCAAGACTGGAGTGCACATACAATGATACATACTCTTGCTTAATATAGGAACTAAAATCCTAACGGATACAGCAATCTGGCAATATTAAAAACAACTAAAACAAAATCGAAAACACGACACAGAAGAAACACACACACAAATTCATTAATCAAGATCTTACATGATATAAATTATTAATTTATAAAAGTTTATATAAAAAACGAAATAACTTAAACATGAATATTACATGACAAAAAACATGTACACGATATAGATACATTGCATGAAACCAAACCATGTCCAAGTTATTAGATGATAACAAAGGGGGGCAGTAATAAAGTGGCAAGTGTGAGTGAAATACCGTGGACAGCTTGTTCAATGTACCATCAATTTGAACGAAATATGCTTCCAAAAGCATTTCTAACTCTTCTACATCAAGATGCTTGCTTATAGCACTGCGTGTAGTGCTTGTATGAGTTCCATGGCTGTCTCGGCCAATTGCATTAGTAACAGCAAACATATTATCCTGGGGGTTATCAGATTCTTGGATATCACCTTCATAATTGGTTGCCAAGGAGATTTCGGCAGGTGTCCTGACATAATGCAGGGAGAAATCTGAGATGCCGAAGATTGCAAGTAAAATGAACTGAAAAGGTGAATCTTTGATGAAATCGAGAGGTGAAACTGTTTAGCACCTATCATTGATGTCTGGTCGAAGAACTTCACCACCCATGTCTTCTGTCTCATTTATAGACGAGGTTGATGAATTTTCAAGTAGTTGTTTCTCAGTTAAATACATCTCAGCCATATCTTCATCATCATCTAACAAATGTTCCAATTCATCCCTTACCTGAGAATATGTATATCTATATACGTAAGTTTAGAATTGAAAATGGAAGACTGATAAAGAAAAAAAATGGAACTCGAAACAAAAGCATTGTTCAATGATTGATGTCAACTCGGCTCAAAGTCACGCATATGAAAATCGACATAGTTATGTTTAAATACACAACCTTCTGGACTCGCCCAGTTATTGCAACTAATCGGCTTTTAATTTGGCGAACCCGCTCCAAATTGAGAGTACTGATCTTTGATGTTAATTTATCTAAGGCAGGATGAGCCTCTAGCTCCAATGTCCTTGCCTGGATTGGCAATAGAAACCAATAAAACAATAACCAAAACATAACGAGTAAAACAGTTTGGTGGTAACAAAAAGTTCACACACAAACTAAGAGAGAGAGAATTACTCACTTCATTTTCTAAGCAGCTGCAAGCAGCTTCAAGGCATGCCTCCAATGCAACAAACTCAAATGGGAGAATCTTTGAGCCATTTGGGTTCTCAAGACTTTGTTTCTCTTCTGATTTACCTTCATCATCCAGATTCTGAGGCTGTGAAAACCTTGATGACAAATTTTGAGAACTCGATCGAATTATGTAGCTGGAGTCATCAACAGCGCCTTCCTAAAGAAGAAAACAAAATGATTTGGCCAATGAATATGAAACAGAATTGGTTGTAGAGCCTAGTAACAAGATGGAAATCAGTAGAGAAACAAAAATGAACCAGCAGGAGCTGATATTGACTATTTTCCTGACCAAGTACCCGAGACTAACACTCGGAAATATGTACAAGGATATGACCCACCAAGAACACTCCATGTACAAGGAGAACTTCTTAAAAAAATTTAAGCATACTAGTGTCAGCTCATACCCGTACTCATCACACACTTGAATCCGAGTAACATAGGAGATTGAGCCATAGCAACATGACTGACTACTAGCAACTAGAAAGAAGGGAAATGAGCTCGCAAAGTTGCAGCTAGTGAGCTTAACACCGACCCAAGAGCTGTCAAGCTGATTATTAGCAACGAAAATGGAGTGTAAACACCAGCAGAAGTAGCTGGTATCTAGAAGTTAAGTCAATAAATTGTAACAGGATAACAGTTAAGTTTGTTATTGCTAAATTCTAGAAGGCAATTATATTGTTGAATTCCACTATGTTACTTAGACTCGGAGGCAGTGTTGATTTGACTGCAATTATGAGGGAAATATATCAATTTCTGTATTATCTCGCCAAAAGCATCAAGTCACAGTGAATACTGTGATAGAATACATGATTTTACCTAATTGAAATAAGAAAATTTCATCGATGCAACAATAAAGCAGGAAAACAAATCAGAGCCCTAAATCAAAAACGCAAAATATAACATCAACTAAACAAAAATATATTGTGCAAAACTAAAATAATTTTACTAAGTGGATCTTAACTCATATATATATATATATATATATATAAAGAAATCAAATTTATGAATAACGAACCTGGTCTTTGGTTGCTTGAAAATGGCACAAAATTCGGCTCTGAATCTCATCAACAAAGGGGGTAACCGAAGGATCCTTAGAATTCAAAAGCAAAACCTCTTGCGCTGTGATGATTGCCTTAATATGCTCCAAGTTAATCACGATCGCCCTTTCACGACCCAGAATCGTAGACGGGTACGAAAGAAGCGGGTCCAATATCCGAAGATCTCGAGCGGGTAAACCCGTGCGTCTCATGATTGCATGCTTTCCGGCCTCCACCATCTGGGTCTGGCACGTCGAGTCCAGTATAAGCCATGCCCGAACACCGGTCCCCTTCTTCCGATGAGCAGAGACGGTGGCGGCGGTTTGAGCTTGATTAGGGAACGGAGCGGGTCGGGACGAAAGGTCCGGATCGTCATCGGGTTTGGGCGGTGGCGACGTTGGTCGACTTGTCATTTTGGGCTTTATCTTCTGAGGGGCATTGGATACTGAGATTTAGCGGTAAGAAATGTGCCGTTTAGTTATTTATAGCCTGGGTAATCTAACATACGGACTAGTGCTAAAGACCGTCTTAGTACCCACCTTTTACCGGCGCAGCTTTCGACTTCTTTCACCCGAAACAATGGATAAAAAATTTAATAATTTTACTTTATCTAATTTCTTAAATTTTATTTTTTAAATTAATTCTTAAATTTGAGTAATTTTATGTGAATGATATCTATTTAATAATTATTTATATAGTATGATACGAGGCTGATTAAGTTTAAGATAAGAATTTGATAATTCAAAAACAATAAATTTGATAATTATATTCTCTAATTTCATATTTTTTAGATATAATTTTTCAAGCATTTAAATATTAGAATATTTTAAATACATATATTGAAAATAAGATTTATTCATGTACTCCATCGTCTTCGTCTAACTTTTGAATGTGCACGTGTCAATACGTATCTTGACTTGTACCGGTTCTATTATTCTTTTCAAGTAAAACTCATACTTTTTTACAGTTTTTTTTCTTTTTCTTTGATCTCGAATAATGCATCTTTATCTTAAATGATTAAAAATAATATTATCTTAAGTAATTTGTTTTGCTATTTATATAAATTAAAAGTAATATTATTCCTATAAATCTACTTTTAATTTAAATTGTAGAGTGTCTCTTTCTTTATAAAAATTATTAACTTTCATTTTTTTATGTAAGATAAATACGTTATATGACATCTCCCTTTAAATATATAAATCAAGTCTGACATTATCTATAACTAGGGTGAAGTACACAAATGATCCACTGATTATAAGATATTGCATTGTTAAGTATATTGATTATTAAAAGTTATAAAATAGTTATTCGATTATAGTTTATTATTTTGTTGAAGTCATCTGACTATTAAAAGTTATAAAATGATTACTCGAACTATTCATATGTTCTAAACTTGTCATTTTTTTATAAAAAAAATAGTGATCATCTTATATGGATGTTAACTTATTGATTGTGAAATGATTAAATTTAATCTCATAATCATTTTAGCAATGATTTGCGGATCGATTCTTTATTTACATTATTTCGTTGAATTACTACCAGTAGACATCATTAAAAAATAATTTTACTCATATCTCAATAGACATCAAACTTAGACAAACGTCAATTTTTTTTAATGAGAAAATATAATTTTGGAATATATGAATAACCGGGTAACTATCTTGTAACTTTAAATAGTCAAAAGACTTAACAAAACAACACCCTATAATCGGAGACTATCTATGTACTTTACGCATAATTTAATTAGACACTTAATATATATATATATAATATTTATATATATCCCTTTACTATGTATATATAAACTCAATCTGTCATTTAATATATATATATATATATCATATTTATTAAAAAATATTTAAACATATATATTAAGTTTTGGATTATCTATAAATTTAATTTCTTTTTATTCCAAAAAATATCCCATTGTATCGGATGATTGATCCAACAGAATGTAAGATGTCTCAATAACACGTGAATCTACAAAATTAAAAAAAAAATAACAGTAAAAAGAAAGTAAGTTCAAAATTGAAAAAAAATGGACTCCCTCTACGGAAAAAATGCTAGAATAATGTAGTAAAGGAAAATTATTTCTTACAGTAACGTGGTTTTAATATTATTTTTTTTATCTAAGATATTTTCTACAGTATATGCTTAAAGACCTTAGGTTATCTCGGTATCTTTAGGTTAAAATTTTGTATGCATAATCCATGAGATTACTCATCATCTTTGGTTAAAATAAATAGATAAAGGACTCTGATTTCTCGACGTATTCATCTCTGCATTCTTTCTCTGCATGTGAGGGCGAGGAGATTCATTTGCTACGTTAAATTAAAAAACAAATAAAATAAGAAAGGTGGGGTCACAACTAACAATAATTGAATATAATCTCACCTCTTCCTTATGAATTCAATGTAAAAAAAACAATTCTCTACCTTTTCTTTCTTTCGAAATCGCCATATGAATCCGTTTTCAAGCCCTTTTCGACAAAATAGAGCAGAGGCTTTTGATTATATGTTAAACAACTTCCCTGTTCTTCCAAATTTGACCTGACTTTCCCCTAGCTTTTGAGTTTTTATTATCTTCAATTATTGTTAGTTGCGTCTCCACCTTTCCTATTTTTATTTGTTTTCTAATTTAATGCAGTAGAGGAATCTTTCCGCCCCCCACACATGCAGAGTTGAAAAATCCGAAAAATTAGAGGCCTTTATCTACTTATTTTAACTAAAGACGCCGAGTAATCCCATGGATTATGTATGTAAAATTTTAGCCTAAATACATCGAGATATCCTTAGGTCTTTAGGCGTATATTGTAAAAAATACTCTATATAAGGAAATGATATTGAAACCACGTTACTGTAGGAAATAATTTTACCACACTGCAACATTTTTGCCCTCACTCTACACCATAAAGTTTTTTTATTATTTTTTTTTGGGTAAAATAATAACTTTTGTTCATGTACGTGATATAATTTATTATTTTCGTTATTATCGATTTTCGTATTAATTTAACTGTCAAAATTATTATATTATATCATTTTATACCATATCTTTTACTTAAAATCATAAATGAAGGGTTTTAAACTATAAATTAAAGTTTAGGATTTAGGTTTTAGAGATTATAAGGTTATGGTTTAGAGTTTAGAATTATCAATTTAATATTTTAAGTTAAGAGTATGATATAGAATGATATAATTAAACAATTTTAAAAATTAAATAATACGAAAATATAATAAACACAAAAATAATAAATTAGGGCAAAAATCACCCTTAAACTTTTTTTTATATATATAAATACACCATAAAGTTAAAATTGAAAACAAAAGAGAATTCACGTGGTTGGGTACCATCAATATTGTAAGAGTAGGCCCCATCTTCCTTTTTTTAAATTTTTTTCTTTTGGTTGTATGTTGTGTCTTCGCTTTTATTTTTTTATAAAATAAATTTGTCTTTTGAAGGTAAATTATAATAAATGATCTATATTCTATATTATTTTTAAATCTGCTAGTTTTATCGATCAATCGAAATACATTAAGAAATAGTGAATTAACTTTTTAAAAAGTTTGGAGGAATCAATCGAAAAATAAAATTTTACACAACAATTTTAGAGTAGTTTGACTTTTCAATCAAGTCCACATCTACTATCTTAACATCGACGCTAATGATTTGTCAAATCCAATATATCTGCTTACCTTTAAGGATAATGTGCAATCTTACAAACACTTCAAAGTTTATACCTAAAGCCTTGAATACACATCCTCCCAAAGAATAATTACAAATTAAGCAAACTAAGAGAATCCTCACAAGGCAAAATATATTTGTACAAATTTAAGCATTCTCCCAAATCACACTTAAGCAAAATAAATAGTGTAGATCACAAGTGTGTTAACAAGAATATGATAATTTTAGCTCAAAAACTCTTTTGATGTTGATAAATTCTTTTAATAATTTTTCTTGTTGTTCTTCACTTGACTCTTAGTCCCTTTATGTATTCTAACACCTTTCTAGTCGTTTGGAACAGTTGAAAACAATAATTTTGAGCATTAAAAGCTCATCTATAACTTTGGTAGCGATAACGGGTAGTGAGCATCGGTACCAAACACCCTAATAATAAAAATATAGAGTCATTGAAACCCTCAGTAACGATATTGTATAGTGAGCATCGATACTCACCTAACATTATCGAGACCAACACCTTGTTATCGATATCAGAAAAATATTTTGAAAAAATAGATATCGATATTAACTTCCTGGTTTTGAGACCAATGGAAGGTTTTTAACTAAAACAAATATTTTTTAGCTTTGAAAAATATTTTTCAAATTTCATAGTTTTGTGAAAATGTAAATATTCACACTTAAAAGTCACTTGAAAACATTTTATGACAATTTTTCATAGTTTTAAGAAAATACAAATTTTAACAATATATATTATTTAATAACTCATGTCATATCAAAATCAAATATTGATTCAATATAATCATTTTCATAGTTCAATTTATCACATAAACTTTTCAATTATGATAAATGTTATCCAACATATTTTCCATTAAAAAGAACACATAACATTATAAGAACATGATACATAATATACATCATTAATCAGCTATTGAAAATCAAATTTAAACTTAAATTTTACAAAAACACATTAAAAATATTTTAATATTTTAGTTTAAAAATTAAATATTAAATCCATTTAAAAAAACTAGTGAAAATCATGGATAAACTATATCATTAATCATTAATGTTTGACTATTTTTTGTTTCGGTCAATAAACCTAAAATGTTTTTAATCATTAAATTGTTAAATTTTAAGAAATATTATAACTTGTCATTGTCTTCACTTTTTTCCTCAAGAAAACACTAAAACTTTTATCTCTCTCATTTGATTGATTTTTATTAAAATTCACTTAAAATCAATAAAAAATTCATCTAAACCATTTTAAATATGGTAATTCCCTCAATTAAATTCCATGTTATTTAACTATTTTAGATTTAATGGTTCAATAACTTCAAATGTAAATTCAAAAAATTGGTGCTATATTTAAAATATTTTATAGTTAAATAATCCAAAGAAAAAAAATATTGTTAAAGTTCAGTGATTGATGGTGTAATTACTTAAACGATTTTTGGGTAAATTACGCATTTAGTATCTAAACTATCAGTTTTAATCCGTTTCAATACCTTAACTTTCAAAAATTTCAAAATTATACTTAAAGTTTAGTTTTTGTTTCATTTTAGTACTCCGCCGTTAAGTTTTGAAAAAAAAAATGAAAGTATTTGTACTAAAACACGTTTAGTACCTAAATCATACTTAAATTTTGATTTTTTTAAAAGTTATGTATTAAAACGGATCAAAACTAATAGTTTATGTACTAAAGGCGTTAACTTTTTAACGATGAGGTATTATTATTTTTTGATTAAGCTAAATGTGATTACAAAGTAGTATATGTTCTAAGTAATCTCAACCATTTGACAATAAACACCCAATCACATTTGTAGTTGTTGGTGCTCGAACCCATGACTTCTAAGAACAACAATAATTTCTTTAACTACTCAGGTAAGTTGGTTCGTTTGGGCTATTAAAATGAAACAAAAATAAACTTTAGGTATGATTTTGAAAAATTGATAGTTTAATTACTAAATACGTAATTTACCCAAGATTTTTTTATCTTTTCCAAAGATATTTCTAGGTTTGCAAAAACTAACTAATACCAAAGAATAATACTTAATTTATTAGGGGGGAAAGAGAGTAATTTTTTGGTCGATTCTGTCATGCCAGCCTGGCGGTAAAATTTAAAATTTTGAAAACGCCAACTAACAGTGGTTAAAAAACTGCGGTAAATTAAATTTGAAAAATAAAACCATTTTTCAATTATAAATATACCTATCCACCCCTTCAGCTCCTCCACATTTCAATCATCTTGTCTCTCACAGAGGTGTCTTGATAAACGCCTTTGATTTTATTGTTTCTGCGATTTGATTTGATATTTTCTTCAGCGAAAATGAGAGAGTGCATTTCAGTTCACATCGGCCAGGCTGGTATTCAGGTCGGAAATGCCTGCTGGGAGCTTTACTGCCTCGAGCACGGGATTCAGGTATTTTCAAATATTTTTCTCGGTTTCAGATTGGATCTTCGTTGCCTTCTGTTTCAGATCTGCGTGTCATTGTTCTACGATTGAATGTGTCACGCTTCATTTCGTTCAGATCTGTGTTTTAACCTTCAAAACTTATGATCTGCCTTTTGTTCTGCTTAGATTTGTTTTTATTTAATGTATTTGATTGATTTTCCATTAAATCTGACAATGCTTGGGTATTCGTTATTCATGTTTGGTTTTCCCATTTGTTAGGTTTTGTATTCCATCAGATCTGGCTTATATTTGTTTGAATTTCAGAATTTTCGATGGTTATTTTGCTTCAAATCTACGTTAATCTTTTTTCTTTTTCTCTATATATATAATTTAAAATGTGAAGCATTTAGAGTGTTATTTATATTTTTAGATACATTCGAAGCATTATTCTACAGATCTAGTTAGTCTTCATCCGGATATTAAAAAAGTAGTTGGTTTTGCTTCAAATCTATTATTATTTCCTACATTTTTGAAAATGTAAAGCGTTTCGAATTTCACTTGCATTTACCTTTCGAGATCTAAGATTTGGTCATTGAATAATGAGCGGTTGTATTTCTGTTTTGAACAGCCCGATGGCCAGATGCCTAGTGACAAGACTGTCGGTGGAGGTGATGATGCTTTCAACACCTTTTTCAGTGAAACCGGAGCTGGGAAGCACGTACCCCGCGCTGTTTTTGTAGATCTTGAACCCACCGTTATTGATGAAGTGAGAACCGGTGCTTATCGTCAGCTCTTCCATCCAGAGCAACTCATCAGCGGCAAGGAAGATGCCGCCAACAACTTCGCCCGTGGCCACTACACCAGTACTTTCTTTTAACCTAATCCCATTTAGTGATTAGGCATATAGTTTAACCAATTTCATTTAATATAATTAACATTCGTTATTCTCTTGCTTCAGTTGGCAAGGAAATTGTTGATCTGTGCTTGGACCGCATAAGGAAGCTAGCTGATAACTGCACTGGTCTTCAAGGGTTCCTTGTTTTCAATGCCGTAGGTGGAGGCACTGGATCTGGTCTTGGTTCGCTTCTGTTGGAGCGTTTGTCTGTCGATTATGGCAAGAAATCCAAGTTGGGTTTCACAGTGTACCCATCTCCCCAGGTCTCCACTTCCGTTGTTGAGCCCTATAACAGTGTTCTCTCAACTCACTCCCTTTTGGAGCACACTGATGTTGCTGTTCTCCTCGACAATGAGGCTATCTATGACATTTGCAGGCGCTCTCTTGACATTGAGCGCCCCACCTACACCAATCTTAACCGCCTTGTTTCTCAGGTATCATATTGCAACCTCTCACTAGTACAGATCATAAGTTATTGGAATATGACTGAAAGAAAATTAATTCAGTTAGGTCATTGTTGAGTTTACTTGATTTGATTGCTTCTGCAATTGTGATGATGTCTTTTCTTGTGATTCAGGTGATTTCCTCCTTGACTGCCTCACTTAGGTTTGATGGAGCCTTGAACGTCGATGTGAATGAATTCCAAACCAACTTGGTCCCCTACCCAAGGATCCACTTCATGCTTTCTTCATATGCTCCTGTCATCTCCGCAGAGAAAGCTTATCACGAGCAGCTCTCCGTTGCTGAAATCACCAACAGCGCCTTCGAGCCTTCATCTATGATGGCCAAGTGTGATCCTCGCCACGGCAAATACATGGCATGCTGTTTGATGTACCGTGGTGATGTTGTCCCTAAGGACGTTAATGCTGCAGTCACTACCATCAAGACCAAGCGCACCATTCAGTTCGTCGATTGGTGCCCGACCGGATTCAAGTGCGGTATCAACTACCAGCCTCCTAGTGTTGTTCCTGGTGGCGACCTTGCTAAAGTCCAGAGGGCTGTGTGCATGATTTCGAACTCGACCAGTGTTGCTGAAGTGTTCTCCCGTATCGACCATAAGTTCGATCTCATGTATGCCAAACGAGCTTTCGTGCACTGGTACGTGGGTGAGGGAATGGAAGAAGGAGAATTCTCGGAGGCACGTGAGGATTTGGCTGCATTGGAGAAGGACTACGAAGAAGTTGGTGCCGAGTCGGGCGAAAATGAGGATGATGGTGATGAGGAGTATTAAAAGTACGGTGTGTGAGGGCACCTCTTCTATCATGATTTACTTTTTTGAGCTTCGGATTATTTGAAGCTGGTTTAGTGTTTGTATGTTTAGTATGCTTGTTTCTTGTTGAAACTTGAATCGGTTTTATATAATTTTCTAAGCATCGCTTGTATGAGTTAAGACCAACAATATGCTGGACATAAATATAAAGGGTAAATTGTGCATTTAATACATAAACCATCAATTTTGATATGTTTTAGTATTTAAATTTTTTATTTTTTTAAAATCATATATAAAGTTTAGTTTTTATTTCATTTTTTGTACCGAATCTTTAAGTGTTGAACAAATTAAAAGTTTAGGTACCAAAACACTAGGTTTTGAAAAAAAAAATGAAAGTTTGAGTATTAAATCAGATAAAACTAATGGTTTAAGTTTTAAATACGTTAAATATTTAATGACAATATTAAAATAATAACTAAATGTTATATACAGTTTTGAAAAAGTTAAAACTATATATATTAAAATGAATCAAAATTGTTAATTTAAATTAAACACGTAATTTACTCAAATATAAAATATAATATAACGACTTTAGAAATAACGAGACACAATTGCACCATTTGTGAAGCTAATTATTATCCAGCAACGGAGAAAGATGTTTTCTGGTTTTATTTGGTTGGCTCTTTTAGTTATTGAGGGTGAATGGAGTTCTCATGGGATCTTTTAACATGGTGAGCATAGATAAAATTTTAGGATAGATTATATCAGTTAAATAAATAATTAATCGAAAAAAATTAAATTTCAGAGTAAATATCTTCAATTAAATAAATAACTAACAAAAAAAAAACTAAATTTCAAGTAGATATGATCCGCCTCTAATGAGATTCTAACATCGTGTCTGGCGGAATGTCTTGTCGGGTCGATTTGGTGATACACAAGATCAGTATAGCAAGAACACCTCCATTGTTGACAAAATTTCCAGGATGGTGGTGGAAAAACTGATTGGGTTAAAATTAGGGTAAATTATGTATTTAGTACATAAACTATCAGTTTTGATTTATTTTAATATCTGAATTTTTATTTTTTTCAAAAACATATTTAAAATTTAATTTTTGTTTCATTTTAGTATCTGTCGTTAAATTTTGGAAAATAAATGAAAGTTTAGGTACCAAAACACGTTTAGTACCTTAATCATACTTAATTTTTGAAAAAAAATATATGAAAATTTAGATACTAAAACGGATCAAAAATGATAGTTTATGTATTAATACGTTAAGTTTTTACGACAGAGTATTAAAATGAAGCAAAAAGTAAATTTTATATACAATTTTAATAAAATTAAAAATTTAGGTACTAAAACGGATTGAAAATTAATACAGGCGGAGCAGTGAGCGGCTTTGCTGCAGGCATTAAACGGGGTTGGCTGCGATGTTTTGCAGCAAAAATATTGGCCATTGATCGATTATTGAAGCTCAACTGTGGGACATAAAAACTTGAAGGAGATAAGATTCTAGCGACGGTAAACCAGGGCTTTGTATTCCCTACACATAAATTGCTGCGCTTGGTGCATGACCACGTGCTCCACTCCACAACGCTATAATTGGTGTTTTATCTTTGTAATCCAGAAAAATATGTCAGAAAAAATAATCAGAAAATTATAATTTAGAGATATCTAAAGTAAGGGTTTGTCCTATTTTTAAATTTTATTTTAGCCGTCGTTAGTATTTTTTAATCTTTATAATTGGTAGTGGTATCAGTTTTAGTGTTGGTTGTCGACCGTTGATATTTATTATTTTTTTCTTTGTTTTATATAGTGTATCTTTATTTTTTCTTGTTATTTTTTTAAAATGATTTTGTCCTAATGACACATTTTTCTTTGTATTTATGGTAAGTTTTTGATCGTTTAGCTGCTGTTTTCGTTTATCTTTTTTTAGGGTTGAATTTGATATTGTCACGACTGATAAGATGACGTTTATTTGTTATCATGGTGATCTTCCTTGCTTTAGACTCTCAAATTGGATTTAAATACGCGATTTGCGTTTGTGAATAGTATTTTCACTTCGCTCGATTTTGATTTGTGGTTTTTTCCGATGGTCTTTTAAAACTTCATCTCCTTTTGTGGTTTGTTTGCCGATTAGGTCAGATCTGTTCGTATATACCTTCTGTTTGAGTTTATTTGATTTGGTTTTTTTAATCTTTTCCTTGTATAATACTTGTCTGATCTTAACTGTCTAGTTTTCTTATGTTTATAAAAATATTTTTGTTATATGTTTAGTTTACGTTTGTGGTCGTTAACTATTGTTGTAATTTAGTTTATAAAAAAAACATTTTAGTAAATATACCTAAACAGATGAAATTTACCTGAATCCGGCCTCAATTGGTTAAAAAGTGATTTTAAAATTACTGTAGAAAATATTTTTGAAACTATAATTTAAAATTTAATTGTTTGATATTGATGTTAAAAAATGATTTAAAATAATAAAATAACTATTTTAGAGATTATGTTATAAATTAAAAATATAGTATTTGATGATAAAAAAGTAATTTCACCAAAAAATGATTTTCTACAACAAAAGCTAAAAGTTTCAGCTTATTAGATTAGGTTAAAAATCACTTTTCCAACCATGATTTTAATTCAAATTTTAGATGTTTAATATTAATTACGGGGTGAAAAGCACTTTTCCATTACTTGAAGCATTCCCAAACTTTAAATACAGCTATGTTGATGTTTTATACAAAATATACATTTATTTTTCTCGATTTCACTCACCGAAAGTGACCTCTTTCTTCCACGCACTCCTTGAATCCATTAAGCAATGGTTCGATCCATCCCGAGCCACGAACCATATCGGGCCTAATCACCCATAAGAAAGGTTGTTCACATTGTACTAGCCCCCGAGCCGTCTCGGTTAGTTCATGTTCGTCGATGCTTGCCGTGCTATCAAAGCTCACGTTTACGACGGATTTCGGGGCTTGTTTGTTGAGCCAAACTATGCATTTATCGTCTTCCGTCAGTATCAAGCTGCTCATGTATTTGTTCGTAAATTTTAGATTGAACTTGTATGCAGATTTATCCCCGGTAGCCGCAGCTCGTCGGTGATAGTTTGAGCACAGAACATAAACGAATCGTAGACGAAGACGGTGCTACGATCGCGAGAGTGCACAATATCTTCGATGCGCCGCTGTAACGGTGCTGCACAGTTTCTGTTGAGACTCAGTGCGAGGCCGGCAACATCTCTATCTAAGAGCTGAGATTGCGTGAGCTTATCCGGTATCGATACGAAGGCAAATTAGGGGTGGTTCGGAGGGTCGGGAGAGTTCAATTCAGGGTGAATTATGGTGATCGAGAAGCCTTTCGAATGTAGGATAGTGACTAGCTGGAGCATGGGTGTTACGTGCGTGGCCTTGAAAGGGCACCATTACGAGCACCAAATGACATGATTTCTGTAGCTTCTCCATTTGCTTGTTTTGGTCTATTTCTGTCTGCGATCGACTTGCGAGCTTTTGAGCTTTTGGTAAAGTTAATAGAGAAAATTGAAATTAAAGACTCAAAGGCCAATGATTGGTATATTGAAATCAGGGAGGGTTGGATACCCTTTTTTATCTCTATATTCACATAATATTTTTGTATTCATCACTTATCCACCGCACACAACAACATATAAATTTTTTAAATTCACATTTACTTTTGTAGGTACATTCTCAAATTCACTTTTACACCCGTTGCTTAACAGGATACCCACCATTTATCCCGTTCCTATTTGTATCTGTCCATACCCACTTGACAGCAACCTCACATATTATAACATTTTTATACCCTAACATTTTGTTAAATTATAAGTCATGTCATATAAAATCTTAAGATTTACAGAATAATCTTTAAAATTATACCGAAATTCATAATGATCCAAGATTTATATAATGAGTAGTTAGTGGACAGATAACTTTTTACATTCACACCAACTCACTAATTACTAAATTTATACTCATATCCATCCTAATTAAAGTAATTGCAATACGAAATCTATGAAATTTTAGTCAGTTTCATCTTGATATTTGGTAAATTTTAAGTGGAAATTTAAATATTATAATTATACGTATAATTATTTCAATCTAAACTTCTCTAAATATAAATCGAAAGGTAACCATATATTATATTATATTATATCTAATCACATACAATAACTTTTCAAATATGCCCTTAATATCACTTTAAAGACTTTTTTATTAGGGTTTGGCCATAATAATTCTTCCAACAGTAGAAAACAAATAGTAAGAAAAACGTTCCATAAAATAGCAGAAATAAACAAAAGAAAAAAAAACGGTCGTCTGTCGAATCATGCCGATGATCATTCACCGGAAGCGTAAAAAGATTTGATTCCGGGAAGCTCCGGCAAATAAGACTTCTCCAACGGTATCCATCTTTCATATTTGATTCCAATGTAACCAACAGTATACGCATTCGATAATGAACTTAATCAGCAGACATGGATTCTACCAAAGTTTCTGGATTCTCATTTGGTCCACCCCATGATCTTAGTCGCTCCTCAGCCTGCACAGCCTGCATCGTTTTATTGAACCGTCGTTAGTCCTCGTTCATCATCTCGGTTCGAAATCGAATTTAAGAGATTCGTGTATGTGACGAGTACGTACCTCTTTCCGCCAAGTGGCTCGAAGCATTAGAAAGAGCAGAATGGTGGTTTGAAGGACGGTTCCGACCAGCATACCGGACCAAATCCCTTGAACCCTGAGGTTGAATTTGAATCCTAGCACAGCTCCCGCCGGAATTCCAAATATATAATAGCAAACAATGTTGATTAAGCCAACATATGCTTGCCACCCTGCCCCCACTGCCACTCCTACAAAACGAAATTGAAAAAATATTAAACATACTCGTATCCGATATATTCTCGTATTCAAAATTTAAACTCAAGTTTGAATAACATAGTTCGGAACATCTCTTTTTACCATGGAGAACAGGTAGAATGCTGTTGAGGAAGATTGTTGCTGCAAGGAAATATCCGAGCTTCGATGCCGCCTTTATGACCAGTGGTTTGTCGGAGAAAACTTCGGAAAATCATGTTTGGTTGCTAGAATAATCGCGGTGAAAGAGACACCGACCGCCAACGATGTGAAAACAGTCACCAGGATCGAGAATTTCGCCGCTTTGGGACG